GGTCCCTTCTAGATCTGCACTGAGCTGCTCTATCAACCGTTGACCCTCCTCGACTGCTTCATACCTACTGCGGCGCCTGTCTCAAGGACTGGTTTTCCTTTCAGGAGCTTCAGGCCGAAAATGCGCCCTCCCCGCCGCCAGAGGGTTCACCCCTTTTAACCTGCCCATCATGTCGTGCCGCTGTTCGAGACACCCGGCATAATGCTACCGTCGCCACCCTTCTCGACATGTTTGTGACAGCAAATCCGGAGAAAGGACGCACGGCCGAGGAGAAGGAGGACCTAAGTCGCAAGTACAAGCCTGGCGACCAGGTCGTCCCTCGACACCATGTCGTCGAGACGCCTGGCGCTAGGCGCCTGGAAGAGGAGGACCGCAGGCTCATTGAGGAGGTGCGCGAGATGAGCCTCAGGGATGCTGGCGTCGACACGTCGTCCTCATCATCAAGACACCGCAGGCGAGGGGACAGTCGGGCGACTGAAAGTCATTCTGGCAGGAGTCGGGACCCCAGTCGAGAGAGCCATCAGAGTCACCACAGCCACCGGCACGAGGGCACGCGGAGGCGACACGGAGACGAGGGCCGCTACAACAGCGATCAGCTCCAGCCCGAGTCGAGAGACAGGAGACGCCACCGGAGTGATTCCCGACACAGGGCGGAAGCCGTGTCGGAAATGCGCCGTCGTCAGGTCGAGCACCAGTCGTCCCTTCGATCCCTCCTCAGCTCGGACGACCTCAACGAGAGAGACTTTGAACGAGAGATTGAAGAGTTTGCGAGGCAGATCCAGGAGGAAGGCTTGCTTGATGGGCTCGACTTGGACAACATTGATCTCAGCAGGAACGACGAGCTCAGTCGTAAAATCACAGAGGCCTACCGCAGAAGACAGCGCGAGCGCGAACGCGAACGACCGAGGCTGGAGCACAACAGGAGGAGCAACGCCAGCGTAGCTTCTCGTCAGTCTTCTGACCCGACGCAGGAAAGCACCCATTCAACCGCGCCATCAGCGTCAACGCCGGCCTTGGGATCCACGTCAGCATCGGACCCCAGGCGGCCTGGCAGTAGGCAACGACCGCATTCTCGCTCTGCAAGCGCAACCGGATACCCGGACGATCGCAGCCGGCCTCCGCCAGCCTTTAATCCGAGCCATCTAGATGTCCGTTCCGACAGACGACGAAGGAGGAATTCTAGTGGTGGTCGCAGTGCAACCACACCTTTGCCTGGTACCCAACCAGAGGCCAGGCCGACGACCCGCTCCCAGACTGACCTATCGCTGCCGACGCGTAGCAGTGAGCCAGCGACTCCGAGGAGTGCCTTCACCGAAGGAAGGAGCGCCAGCACGCCATCTGTCCCCATCGTCGCCCCGGTCCAGACGCACTCGCCGACAGTGGTCCAGTCCGGGTTTCGCGACCAGTCCTTTGCCAACCGGGTCACTGACGCTTCGAACTCGTCAGCGACATCGAGCAACTTTTCTTCACAGCCATCTGGCACCATGCATCGACCCAACAAGCCATCCGATCTCGCGGTTCTCAGCCAGGCCACGTCGATATCGATCCCCTCTGGTGCTAACAGCCCTACGTCACCGAGCCACCACCAGCGACCGCGCACGCAACTGTACCCAGAACCGTCCATCGCCTGCTCCAGGTGCTCGAAGCAGCATATTGAGTACGAGATACATTACAACTGCAGCATCTGCTCCAGCGGCAACTGGAACTTGTGCCTTGACTGCTACCGCAGTGGCAAGGGCTGCTTACACTGGTTTGGCTTCGGGTATGGCGCCTGGAATAAGTGGGAGAAGGCGCGTCAAGCGAGTCGCAAGGAGCTTGCGCAGCCGCACATGCTCACGGCCAATCGGTATCTACCTCCAAAGATCACGCCGGGAGGCGCCGAAGGCCGCCGCACCCTCACGACCGACGACCCCCTGAAGCGCCTCGAGAGCGGCAACTTCTGCGCGCGCTGCCTCGCATGGGCAAACGAATGTTACTGGCGCTGTGACCACTGCAACCAAGGCGACTGGGGGTTCTGTAATGACTGCGTCAACCAAGGCTCGTCGTGCACGCATCCACTGCTGCCCCTGACATACCAGCCACCTTCGTCCCACACGCCACCTGCCAGCCCGCGCTCACCACAGCCGCCTCACCACGCCAGTGTGCTGACTGGTCCCAACGTATCTAGCATTGGACCCTTCAAGCCGCTCGTCTTCCGCACGAGATGCGACGTATGCCAGGACCCTATAGCCCCGACGCAGAGCCGTCTCCACTGTTTCAGCTGCACCAGTTCCATCGAGCCGGACACGAAGCCTGGCGATTACGACGTGTGTCAGGCCTGTTACTCAGCGCAGGTGTCTCGCGGCCAAATCAGCGTCGAGAACGGCCCGGCGGGCTGGCGAAGGTGTCCACAAGGTCACAGGATGGTCGTCGTGGGCTTTCTCGAGGGCCAGGGCGGGCAGTATCGGCACGTGGTACAAGACCTCGTTGGCGGGAGAAAGCTGGTCGTTGCGCCTGCGGGCGAGGGCCAGGAGGCGCGCGGCTTGCAGAGATGGAGCTGGCTCGATGGTGACCGCAAGCTCGAAAGGCTTGTGACGACGAATGTGACGGCGTCGACACCAGAAGGCGAGGCCGCGGTCGGGTTTCCGCCTGACGGAGGCGTTGGGTGGGCGGCGGTCGCTTCGTGGGCCTGGTTTCCCAAGGCAGAGGCAGAAGATGAACTGATGTTTCCGAGGGGTGCCGAAGTCAGAGAGATTGAGGACGTCAACGGCGACTGGTTCTTCGGGGTGTACATGGGTGCCAAGGGACTGTTTCCGGCGCCCTACGTGAAGAGGTTTGAGGGATAGGTTGCATTGATATCATATGGGAGGTTGCTGGGAGCATGCGTTTTGTTCGACGTCGGACATGTTCAGCGTCCAGATTTGCAGGCTCTTATGAGCCAGATTGAATGAGAAATGAAAATGATATACTTTCTCGAACGAGGGGACGAAGACGTCGTCAAGTCAACAACGGCACTTGGGTTATGAGTTGGGGTTACGTGACATGCTGGAATGTCAGCTTCAAAGGCATATGTGATACGTTCTATTTAGCCCCTTTTTTCCCCCGGGCACGACTGATGTAGGTGTATGGATGCATGATGTACAATGCTGCCAGGTTCCATGACCAACTTCCCAAAATTGTGACGCTGCTACGCGCATCGAGCTCCAGACGTATTGCTCAGCCTACATCCAGGTCAGCGTATGGTTATGAATCGGGTCGGTCTGCGGGTAGCTAACGCTTCTTGCAGATCTGGGTCACGCCGAATGTGTCCCTGATGAGGAGGGGGCCCAAGTACGACTCGGGAACTAGAGCGACACGGATTAGTTTGAGTTCCAAGAAAAAGAAGAGAATAGGAAGAAAGAGAAAAGAAGAGCGAGAAAAAAAAAATTGAACAGGGCATGGACGGGCGGCGTACCGAGGATCTGGTGGGAGAAGCTGCTGCAGAGATAGCCCCAGTTGCCGTCGTCGGGACAGTTCTTGAACTGGGGCTCGCGGCGGGCGTCCATGGTGGTGGGCTGGTAGTTCCACTCGCAGAAGCCGTGCGAGGCCATGCAGGTGACGCCGAGGGAGCCGACGTCGAACTCGGGCTCGCGGCCGGCGCAGTCCTCGACGCGGAAGACCTGGTCGAGCGTGGCCCAGCCCTCCTCGACAATGGTGCGTGTGAGGGCGACGTGCGTGTTGCGCGTGTCGCGCGGGTTGTGGAACGAGTAGGTGCTGCCCTGGCCGTCGAGCCACCACTGGTTGCAGAAGCCGCCGTTGCTGAGGCCGGTGCAGGAGATCTGGTCCGTCTCGGTGGCGAACTGGAGGGCGTCGACGCCGGGGCTCTTGGCCGAGACGATGCCGTTGGCCTTGAGGGCGCTCGAGAGCACGTAGAGCTGCAGCTGGCGGTAGAGCTGGCTCGACTGGATGGTCAGCGACGTCGTGACGCGCTGCGAGAAGCCGCCCTGGCCGCAGGCCGTCGCGAAGAGCGTGTGGTTGCGCTGCAGGGCCACGACCGTGTCGAGCACGTTCTTCTGGTAGTCCTCGACGAGGTTGGCGAGCGAAGAGCCAATGTTGCCGAGCTGGATGAAGCGGTCGTTGGCCGTCTGCGACGGCTTGACGAGCGTGTCTGGGAGCTCCTTCTTCAGCGACAGGGCCTGGGCCAGACCGCTGTGGATCAGCCGGATCGCGTCACCGGTGCCGCCGGGGAGCACGCCCGTGAAGAGGCTGACGACGCCGAGGGTCGATCCGAGGACCTTCATCAACGAGCTCGCGGGCTGCTGGGCCTCGACGGGTGGAGCCACGGTTGCTACGATCTTGTCCACGGTCTGGCCTGCGAGAGCCACGCCGTTGCTCAGTGCTTGAGAGTACTGGTTGAAGAACTGGTGAACTGCGTAGATGTTCCAGAGAGCCTGACATTGTTTGTTGTTAGTGAACATGCCCACTTAGCTTTGTTTGGAATTTTGTTGCTGCCGCGGCTCACGTAGAAATGTTGGTTGCTAGAATAGGAGACGGTCGACGAGGGAGGAGGACACGTCGAAGACGTGATGTCGTCACAGGTCAGAGTGGTCAGGCCGTTGAACTGGAGGTAGCACTGGGCAAACCCCAGGGTGTCACACCCGGCAGCGGCGCTGTTGGTTGCCATCCAGTCGTTGATGTACTTATCCATCTCCAGTGCCTCCCAGCACTCTGCCTTGAGGCCCGAGGACGAATTCGGGGCACAATCGACATCTTGCCTCTGGACGATGGGGGTTGCCGTGACAGTGCAGGCGAGAGGGAAGAGAAGGGCGATCGTGCTCTTCAACATGGCGTTGACAGGGTACGGTAACTATGGTATGAAAGTAACGAGTGTAAGTGATCTTCAAGATAATGACAGAGCTGGACTACGACTTTCACAGAGTGCAAGAATAGCCGGAGAACCAGAAAGACTGAACCAAAAGAAGGGGATAGCGAAAGGAACGGATGATCAGTGCACTCTCAAGGCTATTCAGTCCGTGAGGGCACGCCGTCGCCGATCTATTTATCATGGCATGAAGAACGACCCCAGCCCGATGAGTTTGGGCACTTTTGGTAAGATCTACCTCATGATGCTATACCTGGAAGGTAGGTCTGTATCGAACCGGCAGCAACGGCAGGCTTTTGGCGATTCATGACCCCTTGGCCTCATTTGGACGACTCATGTCCCTATGCTCAGCTTGGTTGCACAGCCCTACCTGGCAGCAACGACAACTCAATCCATCGCTTGGCCCAAGCTCACTCATATCTGGCAGTTTGACTGAGTTGAAGTCTTTTGACTCCAAGACGTGGTAGCTGGTAGGCCTGGTACCCAACCCGCTCGACAGATGGTCGAGCGACAAGAGTGCGGTCAGCCCAGCGCATCGGTATGCGCGAATGTCACTAAGAGGCACGAACCATCCAATGTTGAGATGATAGCTGCACGATGGACGACGGCAGCTCCCGATCTGCCCAACGCTGAAACGATGGCTTGGGCGATAGAGTGCTTGGCACGTCATGCGCCGGCAGCCCCGTGCGGCTCACAACAGCGGGCTTCTTGGTGATAAGTCGCAGCACCCCACAATCGTCTCGGGGTTCCCTTCTCCTTGGGCCCCCACTGGATGCTACGCTGGGTCTCTTAAGGGTGCAACGAGGATACGAGCACCCCGGATAACGAACGACTCACGGGCGTGGTCAGGCTGAAGCGCGTTGATGATTGCTCTTCATAGCGTCTCGGCCAAGTTTGTCGAGTCAGATATAAAAGCCAGAGGGGGTTTCGCGTTGCTCGTTCGGGCGTGCTGCATGTCAGAGCGGGTGCCATGCGAAGATGCGTGATCAAGACATTGGTGTCGGGTGCTGGCCAGAGACCCTGAGGACGTAGCGTCACTGTTTTGTACATTAGATACATTAGATGGATGCCTAGGCTGCCGAGAAGCACTCGAGGGGACGCTGGCGGACAGAGCCACCATGAATGCTTGGCCTTGAGGTTTCGTATGGTGGCGGTCCTTGTGGAATGTATGAGGTCGTCAGCGTCGAAGTGTCAAGGCCTGTAGGGTAGCCCTAGATGTAGTATGGATTTCTTCATTTTGGAGATGTTTTCTGATAGTGAAATGATGAATGAGAGTCTGCTCTACTACAATGAGGTCCATGGTAAAGCTCACAGACTGTGAGGATGAGTGTTGGTGTTGTGTTGAATGTAAGGTGGGTAGGTAGGTGCCCAGAAAGCGGGCAGGTATCCCCACCATGGCCCTGACTAATGCGGCACTCAAGCTTCGATGGCGTCTTCGTCCCCGAGCTTCGGAGCTCTCAACGACGTGCCATTACTGCCCTCGACATTGACGCCCTTTATAGCCTCGCGCTTTCAACGCCCCGTGCCCAACCTCCAACGAACGATCGAGCTGACGAAGTACCCTGTCGTCGGCTGATTGACCATCAACATGTTCCGCCACGGCCTCCGTCGCTTTGCGACAGCCGCCGCGCCTGTCGTCGCCGATCCGAGCCCATACCTCTTGAACCTTGCCAAGGCCCAGGGCACCGTCAAGGGCCTCACCGGCGGTATGTGCACGATGCTTGACCATGTCACGGCCGGAGCGGCGGGCACCTTTTGCTAACGACGAGAGACAGCCATCGGAAACACGCCGCTCATCCGCCTCAACAAGCTCTCCGACCAGACAGGCTGCGAGATCCTCGGCAAGGCCGAGTTCATGAACCCGGGCGGCTCCGTCAAGGATCGCGCGGCGCTCTACGTCGTCAAGGACGCCGAGGAGCGCGGCCTCCTGCGGCCCGGCGGCACCGTCGTCGAGGGCACGGCCGGCAACACGGGCATCGGCCTCGCCCACGTGTGCCGCAGCAAGGGCTACAAGCTCGTCATCTACATGCCCAACACGCAGTCGCAGGGCAAGATTGACCTGCTGCGCCTCCTCGGCGCCGAGGTCTACCCCGTGCCGGCCGTCGCCTTTGACAATGCCGACAACTACAACCACCAGGCCCGGCGCCACGCCGAGCGCCTCGACAACGCCGTCTGGACGAACCAGTTTGACAACGTCGCCAACCGCCGCGCCCACATCGAGACGACGGGCCCCGAGATCTGGGCCCAGACGGCCGGCAAGGTCGACGCCTTCACCTGCGCCACGGGCACCGCCGGCACGCTCGCCGGCGTGACGCGCTATCTCAAGGACGTCAGCGGCGGGCGCGTCCGCAGCTACCTCGCCGACCCGCCCGGCAGCGTGCTGCACAGCTACATCCAGTCGGGCGGCGAGCTCGTCGAGCGCAGCGGCTCGAGCATCACCGAGGGCATCGGCCAGGGCCGCGTCACCGACAACCTGCGCCCCGACATTGCTCTGCTCGACGGCTCGCTGCACATCGCCGACGAGAAGAGCATCGAGATGGTCTACCGCTGCCTCGACGAGGAGGGCCTCTACCTCGGCGCGAGCTCGAGCCTCAACGTCGTCGCCGCCAAGGAGGTCGCCGAGAAGCTCGGCCGCGGCCACACCGTCGTCACCATGCTCTGCGACGGCGCCTACCGCTACGCCGACAGGCTCTTCTCGCGCAAGTGGCTCGAGGCCAAGAACCTCGCCGGCGCGATACCCAAGCATCTGGAAAAGTACATTGTCTTGCCGTAAGGAAAGAGTCAAAGGAATCGATGGATGCATGCCAAGGGGGGGGGGGAATATGTTGGTCGTAGTTTTGACATGTTCGTACACTGACTGGCCTGGCTTCCTCCGATCTATAATTGTACATTTTGACCCATTTACACAGCCGTTCTCTCTCTGTGTGTGTGTGTGTGTCTCTCTCTCTCTCGCTTCTTCTTTTGACACATGCCAATGGTACACGCGTCCTGCGACTCTTCTTACGCATCCGTCTTGGCGTCCTCCGCTGGCGCCGCCTCCTCCACAGGGCTGGCCTTGACATCGAGCTTGACGCCACCCTGCGCATCAAACTGGTTCGTGTAGACGCGGTGCGGCAGCGAGCCCTCCTTGAGACCGTCCTTCAGCTCGGCAATCTTGTTGGCGAGCTCGGGCTCCAGCGCGGCGGCGATGGCGTAGAGCTTGTCGGCCAGCGCCGGCTCGACGACCTGCGCCGCCAGCTTGAGACCGTGCAGCGCGTTCGCCGCGGGGGCGATGTAGAGCGGCGCGGCGCTGAGATACCTGACGTCGCCCCTGTCGCCGCTCACGCTGCCCTTGCCGCCAAACGCCTCGGCCGGGTAGGCCCCGAGCAGGCCCTTGCCGGCGGGCCAGGCGCCGACGACCTGCTTAGCCCAGTAGGTGACGCGGCCGTCGACGTCGCGGCCGGCGTTGTGGCCGACGGCGAGGGCGGCGGCGAGGTGCAGCGGCGCCGTCAACGACAGGGGGTCGCGCTCGACGGGCCACGACAGCCAGTCAGGCCTGCGCTTCTCGAGGCGGTGGGCGGGGTCGGCGGCCATCTCGAGGACCATGGTCGACCAGCGCAGGGCCTGCTCGAGCTCCTTCTTCTCCCAGGCGGCGTCGAGGGCCTTGAGCTGGACGAAGAGCAGGACCTCCTGGACCTTCTGGGGCAGGTCGAAGCGCAGGCCGGTGCGCTTCGTCTGGCGGGCGGCGTCGATGACGGCGAAGACGCGGCCCTTGGCGCCGGTCTGGCGAACCATCTTGACGAACATGGCTGTGTTGATGACACGCTTGGCCTCGCGCAGGCCGGAGAGGAGGCGCACAAAGTTGGACCAGTCGTGGGTCGTCTCCATGTTGCGCAGGGCCTCGTGGAAAACGGCGCGCGTCGAGGGGATCTCCTTCCACGGCAGGTGGCTGAAGCGGTGGGTGAGGCCGTCAATCTCAATGTCGACGGGGTTCATGCGGAGGGAGTTGCGGTGCTTCTCGTTGAAGACACGCTCGCGCTGGTGTGGCGGCAGGTAGTAGGGGAGGATGATCTTGTTCTGGATTTCCGTGAGGATGGGCGCGAGGTTGTCGCTGACGTCGGGGTCGAAGGTGATGTATCGGGTATCTGGTAAGAGTTAGAAAAATCTGGGAGCACGGCTGACCGGCCATATCAGGAGGATCCATCGTGTCGACGTACCATGGCGGGCAGGTGTCTGGGTGAAGCATCGTTGCTGCATGGGCGAGACTGTGGGCAGCCGTAATGGCGCCTGTGCCCTGAAGGCATTCCTCAGCAACACCCTGTCCATCGTGTGTATGTGTGTGTTTGTGTGGGTGAATCGACGTCGACTTTCTGGGCTCGTCGATCCGACAGCGGGAGCAGACTCAATTGGCGATCGAAGTCTGTTGTCGTCAGGCAACTCGGGACAATCGCTGTGAGGTGAAGATGAGGATCCCAAAAATCGACAAGAGCTTACAGGGGGGGGTCCAACGGGGGTCCAACAGCAGTCCAGCCAGGAGGCGTCTAGCACCTGTGGCTCCACTAGTGAACCCCGACAGACCTGCTAATCGCTGGGAGCTCCGCGGCTTCGGCGAAACGCGTCTACCGAGCCAATAGCCAATCACACACGGCAATCCGATCGTCGTCCCTGAGAAAGTCGACTTTTCGATTCCTTGCCTCCAGACAGCTCCTCCATCACGACGACGAACACGACGACAAGGACCAAACCTCCGCCCGTCACCACCACCATGAACGTCCACGCCCTCAGGCGGCCTCTCGGCTGCCTCAAGACGGCCCTCCGTCAGACACGCCAACAAAAGGCCCTGCCCCTCGCCCGCTCCCTCGCCACAGCCGTCGAAACCACAACACCATCAGCAGCAGCCTCATCACGACCACCACCGCCGCCGCCTGCCGGCACGAAACCCATCATCAACACCAAGCCCCCCGGCGTCACGCACCACCGCCACTTCGCCCTCGCGCCGCCCGTCCCCTCGATCCGCAAAACCCACCCAGACCCCCTACCCGCCCTGACGGCGGCGCAGCTCACCAAGCTCGACCCGACGGGCGCCCGCACGCGCCTCTTCGACCGCACGCGCCCCGACGCCGCCAAGGCCGGCGACGTCCTCCTCGTGACGACCCGCACCGGCGAGCCCTTTGCCGGCGTCTGCCTGTCCATCCGCCGCCGCGGCGTCGACACGGCCATCCTGCTGCGCGGCCAGCTCATGCGCGTCGGCGTCGAGATGTGGCACAAGATCTACGCCCCGACCGTCATTGGCATCGACATCATCTGGCGCCGCCCCAAGCGCGCCCGCCGCGCCCGCCTCACCTACATGCGCCAGCCCAAGCACGACATGGGCAGCGTCGCCCACCTCGTCCAGGCCTGGAAGAAGGAGCGCTACGCCATGCGTGGCAAGGGCAGGGGCGCCAGCGCCGCCAAGACGGGCGGCCAGGTCGGCACGAGGTTCTGAGTGTGTTCTGGTGAACGTGCAGTGGGGCATGGGAGTGTATGATATCGCTGCGTGTGAGGATAGACTGTATTATCGAATGGAAGCAGCCTTGTGGCCAATACACCATATCTGTGATGTGCGTGATATGATGTGAGCGTTCCCGGACGCGACAGTAGCAAGATCCCAACGTAATAATGACATGGCGAATCAAGTTTCACAGACGCCATACAACAGACAAGCGTAATCAGCTTTGCAGCCATTCTCTCTGTACAAGGTGCAGCAGTCTCCGTCCTAGTCCCAACCGTCTACGGCCGCGACGCCAGTCTACACAAAACCCAGAACCCCCATGCCCAAAAGAATGCAAGCGTGAAAGAAAAAAGGTATGTAGGATTACGGAAACGCTGAACCGTCCCAATGCAAACACCAAAAAAAAGAATCATCAAAACACCCCTGTCACCACGCACATGATACCCCGCCATGCTGGTATGGTGGCTGGCTGCCTACCGAGATGACGCTGGAAACCTCCAACCCATGAAACTGCTCGTCAGCCACGACAGCTGAGGGGGATGCACCGAGACCTTCTAGCCCATCGGTGTCGTGAAGACGCGGCGAGCGCGCGTCGCGGGCGCAATCTCTTCGTCCTCATCCGTGTCAGCGTCTTCTACAGCCACCGTGTGCCGTCGGCGCAAGTCTGGCCCTTCCATGCCGTTGGCGCCCGAGGCCGAGACTCCGGCATCAAAGGACACGCGGCGGGCGAGGTTCCGATCCTCGCGCGGCACGGCGGGCCCCGGATGCAGAAACGACGAAATAATGCCCCTATCTCTACTTCGTCCTCTCTGCAGGTCGGCGCCTGTCCGGTTTGTCACGGCCGTCATCTGCCGAGTGAGGCCGTTTTGCGTCTCGAACGCCTCGTCGGCAAAGCGTGCTTCGCTGGGGAGGAGGACAGCGCGGTCGAGGCCGTAGGGAAGGCCGCGGTGGCGACCACGAATCTGCATGGCAATGATGACGAGCTTGCCGCCAGTCGTGAACTGCGACGAGAGGGACGCGTTGACGTTTGGATACCCCAGGCTCAGGCCGACGGTGCCGTAGGCACTGATCAGCTCAAACAGGATGCTGTACACGTTGAACTCGTTCTTCTTGATCTTCGAGCCCTCCGTGATGGACAAGATGAATAGCCCCAAGAATACGTACCATAGATCGAAGGACAGCTGCCGTCGCAAATGTGTTCCGACGTACGACATGGCGCTGGCGTCGTTGATCGTCTCGTCGTCCTCAGCGCCGTTGTAGACGCCAAGCGACTTTTCCTCGTACACGTTGGTCCTACGGATCGAGATGGCGATGGGGAAGACGGAGATGTACATCATCATCATGTAAGAGACCTGCACGGCCGGATGGAGGAGCGACAGGTTGACAGAAGAGAAGCCTGCCGTTCTCGTGCATGCCGCCTGGAACAGGCCATTGACGATTCGGAGATGGACAGGCATGTCGCTGACGACGTTATCGTTGAGCTGCCAAACGTCAGTCAAAGCCCCAATCGAAACCACGCGAGCCGGTACCTACATCAAGCAAGACAAAGAACAACAGGTCGATGGCGTTCAGTCCGATCAGGATCCAGAACAGCCACCAGGTAGCGCTGGCCGGGAACAGCAAGGTAAAGCAACGGCGCGGATGGTCCAGGAGGAAGCGCAGCTCCTCCCACAGACCTGAACCTCGGGGAACGAGGCGAGCCATGACCCAGATGATGGGATCGAAGCATGACGGGGAAGCCAGTGTTGCCGATGATGATGAGGAAAACCATAATCATCAGAACGTACTGTGACTGATTAAACGACACCATGCTTTCAGGTGTCAGGGTAAGACCCAGATCGAGGAAGGCCGAATTGGCAGTGAAGAAGCCCCACCAAGTTCTCGACATGCCGGCGGCGTCGACGACTTGGGCATACTCGTTGTTCGCGGGGCTTTTGATCCACGGCAGCAGGCAGACCAAGGCGAAAATGGACCAGCCCCAGAAGTAGCAGACGAGAAGAAGCGCCAGAGTCCTCAGAGATCGATACTCGATGCCTCCGAGTTCCTCGCGCTGTTCAAGCGACAGTCCGGGAAACTGTGAGTTACGGCCCAGCGTAGGCGTCCAGCTGAGGTAAGGCGCGTCATCCGCCTTCTCGCCGGTCAGGGCGCCCCTGAGAACATCAAGTGTCCGTGTGCGATGCTTGGGGCCCGGTCTCGGATTGTCATTCTCGTCCTCGTCACTATCGACGTGGTACTTCTTCTGCCCCCGCTGGAAGATGCGCGGCTTGCGAAACATGACAGAGTCGAGCACGTTGCCAATGACGGTGGCCTCCTCCGCCAGCTCGTCCATCGTGTCTCTCTCCGGAGACTCCTCGTTCTGTTGTGTCGGGGGGCTGCCGGCGCTCGCTGGGCTTCTGAGGCTCGAAAATCTTAATCGTCGGCTGACGATTCCGGGGATTGACACCCTCAGGCGGCGTGTTGGGTCTCGTGTTACCGGGGCTCCTTATGCCAGGCTGGTTCGGGTCCTCCTCCTCCTCGGCTTCGGGCCCGTCGCCCTCCTCGACGCGCTTGGGCCTGATGCCCTTCTCTACATCCCTAGGATTGGGTATCCTCAAGGTCTCGTCATGGCCGCGACGTTGACGCTCGAGAATGGCAAGGTGTTCAGCATGGGAGAGGCGGCGAAGGCCATGAATGGAGTCCAGCTCAATGTCGTCGCTGCGGGCAGTCCGCGGCGCGTAAGAGCTTCGGGCGGCCGTGTCGCCAGACGAGGGCCGTTCGGAGTGGCCATTGGGCGCCGCTGCGCTTGCTGTCGTCCGTGTCGGAGGAAGATGGAACTGCCGTGTGGTTGCTACTGGGGGATTCGCGGCCGCCGTTCTCCACCTTCTTGTCCAGAATGATGCCGTCATTGGTGATCCTGCTTCCCGAGTTGGGCATGATCCTGATATTCCGCCCAGCAACACCCATTTCGGCCTGGTTCATGTCGAGATGGGCCTTGGCGCGCGACTTGGAAATGGTGACCCGGCGGGCGCGGGCGTCACGCACCATGTTCTGGAAGCGCTTCTCGAACCAGTAGAGACGCAAGAAGACGACGGAGGAGTGAATGACAATAGGGTTCGACGTCATGGTGAAGATGTAGATACATATTTGCTGAAAGGTGTTGAGCAGATTGACGTCGACCGTGTTGAGGCCGGCCTGGGTGTTGGCGCCGCTGGCGAAGAAGAGGGCGTCAATGTAGGCGAGCTGGCCGCCGGCTGTCGCATACATCAGGACCGAGGCGAGGATGGTGAGGCTGACGATCCAAAAGTAGTGAGCCGATATAAAGTTGAAATGCGGTTGCTTGGATATGAAGGACGGCTTGGCGGCGCGGATTTGGCCAAGCAGCCAAGCTCGCGTATTGTCGAGCATCCTGGCGACAAACCGCAGGCGCGGCAGAATGCAGAAGAAGGCAAGGAGGGGTGTGCGGCGGTCGGGCGCGGTTCGTCTGAGAGGATGTGCCCAATCGGGCAATCCTGCGCAATTGGAGCGAGGAACTCGAGTCGATGTCAAAGTAGCATGGCGACGAAGGCGTAGGGGAATATTGTCTAGGGCATGCCGCAGAGTAGAGTGGGAGGTGAAGAAGATGAAGATGAAAGATAGCTTTGGGGGGGGACGGTCTAGGGTAGGATCTCCAGGTCTTGGCAGTTGTCGGTGCTAAAAAAGGTCGACGTCTTTGTCGATGGACCGACGGACTAGCAGGTGGGGGCAGGAACGGGTCTTGCACGGCAGGCAGTCGTCTAGTGCAATGACTTGGGTTGGATCGTACCTGGTATCTTCGTATGCCGTCGGCCTCAATGGCAATGGAGACTCAGTCTGATGCTTTTGGCCGTCGCAAGGGAAGTATCGCTGATGGAGCAGCAGGAACAGCAGGAGCAGCAGGAGCAGCAGGAGGGTCAGCGTTGGATTTTAGGGCAGTGGCAGCTGCAGAAGGTGACATTGACATGCCCACCTTCCTTGCTGGCCCGGTCTTTTGTCCTAAAATTGCACTGTCGAGAACGTGGCCTGCAGTAGCATCTCCCTGGGCCCGCCCTGGCCTGGCCCTCTGGCCTCAAAGAATGGTGGGGTCCTCCTTGTGCACATGTACATGGTATACGCGCGCTTTGTACATGTACCGATAGGCCGGTGCTCCCAAACCTTAATCGCTGCAGACGTGCACTGTAGGTCACCTATGTACAGCGCCTGTATCGCGCTCACCCCTTCCCCTGTGTGTGCGTGTCACTGCTCACCTTCAACTCGCCCACACCACATGCCCATGTCACTACGAAACTGTCTTCTCTTGACCGCTTGCTGGACTTTGCCTCCTCTCCCCCCCCCCCTTGCCTCAACCATCCCTCACGGCAGTGCACGTCAAAACCCACATCGCACCACGCTCACCAACTTCCCAGATACCGGTTGCGCCAACTCCCATCCCATCTGTACCAACTTCATCCACCCTACCGCATGCATGCGTGTCATTCTGCCACTGGCGAAACCTATCATCCTGGCGCCTACCCGCAATTACCCGCAATGAATCCAAGGTACGAACTACTACACAGGATACAGCCAGTGGTCGTCGCCGAGCTCATCGTTCTTCTTGGCTGAGGTGTTCCACACATTGGCCATGATGTCATTCATTACTTCTTTTTTTTGGCGATGCCTCACCGCGCATCTCATCTCGCCAATATGCAGATTGGAAAAGGCCGATCTCTCGGCACGTGGATTTGAAACCGCCCCCAACGGGGCCCAGGCCCCTCTCAACCCATTTGCCCATTTGGTCCGGCACCAGATTACGTTCCCAGATTTGCAGGCCCTGTCAGCAGCACAAGCAAAAGTGAGACGGTGTGTTGGGACCAGCCACTTTTGGGGGAGGGGGGCGAAGGAACAATACCATGTCTGAGCCGAGGGCGCGGGAACGAGGTAGGGCCTCCAGCATCTCTATCGACCTACAGGCCGCCATTTCAATACCCTCTCGACTTTTCTCAATCTCTCTCTTTTCTCTCTCTCTCTCTCCCCTGGGCCTCATCAAGCTTCCGTTCTGCTGCCTGCTGCAGGTGGAAGGGCCGGATATCGAACACCCTTGGAGGCCTCGTCAGATCGTCAGCGCAAGCCATGCTGCTCACCGTGCTTGGCTTACGCGGCGCATATCACCGACCACCGACGTATCCTGCCTGTCCTATGTGGTGCGGATGTTGGCCGAGACGTCCGTTCCCCTTTCCATGCCTTGGCTACCGGTCCCCCTCCCTGTTCCTTGGATTCTGATGCCGAGCCGCCGCGTCGACGACGCACCTGATTCACAACAAGAACGACCAATCGGCACAAAACCGCGTCCGATGGATAAAAAAAAGTCTATCGCAGACTGCATACATGCCTGCTGAACCTTCGTGACTGAAAACACAAATCAGCGAATCAGACATCGTAAAGAACATGAGTCGACTCGTGATATGGCCCGGCAGAACAGGAGACGGCAGAACAGGAGACAACACATGCTTGAGGGTATGCATCGTGTCACCCTGCAGTCCCTGTAGGGCCCGTGTCGATCTCACGTCGACGCGGCCAGACGCATATCCCTCTTCTTGAATCCCCGGGACACAGGCCACTCAACGGCGTCCCAAGATATCCCGACTTTCCGACGTCCCGTTGTCACCATGCCACTGGGTAACTGTCTCGACCAGCGCCCGTCCGTCCGCGGCAACTTACATCGCCTTCGTCCCGAACATCCCCTATCAACGTACCACTGCAGCATCGCACACTGAGACAGAGATAAGGCGAAGACAGCAGGAATGCCACTCGGCACGGCACGTGTAGACTGGCGGTCC